GTCTTCTGGCGGGGGCGTTGGCGTCAGGCTTCCAGTGCTGAGCGCTACCTGCAAGCCGCCGCCGCTTCCACAGTTCTTGCTGCGCTGCCCGTGCCCGCACGGGCGCGGATCCTGTTCTTCGCCACCGCCAGCGACCGCCTTGTCGCTTCATTTCTCCAAGTCGGCCCCGCCGCTTGGCCTGCCCTACTTGCGGCCGCCCGCCGAAACCTTGTCACTTCGCAAGGTCCTTGAGCACGGGTATGGCTGCCTCGCCGTCGTCGGCGAGCAGGCGGTCTCCCCCGCCTGACGCGCGGCGCCCCGGCACGAGCGCGCGGGACGGGCCTGCCCATTTTGGGCCGCCCCGCGCGCGCGAGCCGCGGCCGCGCTCGGAGACAGCTCGCTAGCGCGCGAGCGGGAGAATGCCTCTTCTATTCTCTGTGAGCAAGCTCCTGCTGTCTCCGCAGCTTCTCTGCCCCCCTCCCTCCTCTCCCAATCTAAGGCTGATGGGCGCTGCCTCGCCGTCGTCGGCGAGCAGGCGGTCTCCCCCGCCTGACGCGCGGCGCCCCGGCACGAGCGCGCGGGACGGGCCTGCCCATTTTGGGCCGCCCCGCGCGCGCGAGCCGCGGCCGCGCTCGGAGACAGCTCGCTAGCGCGCGAGCGGGAGAATCCTCCTCCTCCTCCTCCTCGTCCTCCTCATCCTTCTCCTCCGCCTCTTCCACAATACACAATATGCGTACTACTCTCCTCTCTCCCCTGATGACGTCTGGATGATGTCCGGCTCCGCTTCGCGTAATGTTTTTTTTCCTTGTCAATGAGTTTTCGCTGGGGCTTGGGTTCAAAATGCTGCTCACGCTGAAGCGCTGGCCCCATTTCTGCGCCTCTGTTTGTGTCAAATCGTTCTCCCGCTCCTTCCAAATAGGCCATAAAATGTAGAACATGCTCTCTGAAACATACATCGGAAGTGATGACATACTCGGTGTCGATTTGTCGATTTTCTGGACCGCAGAACCTCCACTTTGGGGCGTCGTCGTTTTCAGGAAGTATCAAGCGGGAGCCGAAGTTCTGCTTCGAGAAGGCGATGTTGAAAGCAGAGCCAGTGGGTGCTCTCCATCAGCCCCGTCTTGTGCGGAGCTTTTCGGAGAGCCCAAGGAGCTAGACATGGAGCCACGACTCCAGACCGGCCCGAACCTCTCGAAGATGATCCACTTACCCTCCAGTAAACCTGGCCCCATGCCATGACATGCTGTGCGATGTTGTGTTCTGCGCCGTTGTGCGATGCCACGTTTTGCGTCGCAATAATTTGTGATGCAATACTTCACTGCGCAATGCCACGCCACACTATGGTGCCTCCTCGGCTTCGGACCACCTCTTCTTGCTGCGCTCTTCTGAAGTCACTGCTGGGTGCTCTTCTTGCGCACTGCGGGTCCTTCAGAATGCCAGTCAGCATCGAGTGGTCCTGAGTAGAATCGCCACATGTGTAGAAAGGGTTGGGAGCTCTATTAGTGTGACAACCAACCATCAACAAATATTCTGAATTTGGGGGTACGTCACAGGGTAATTTGTGTCCTGGGCCCCTTCAGCTGCGGACTGCGCACCCCGCTGTCCCCACTGCTCTGCACCCTCGTGCTCCTCCTCGTGCTCTTCCTTCCGTCTGGGCATCACGTGGAGTCTACGGACTCTACAGCCAAGTCTGTTTCGATGGTCGACCCTGCCAAAGCAAGGGTGCCCTTGTGTCCTGCGCTTCTTGCCCCTAGCCCACCGCAGTCCTGGGGTAATGTGGCCATCGGAAGGGTATTGTGTCCTCTCGCGTGTCCTTTCCTATTTTTTCTATCCGTAAGCGCTTCGCCCCCTGCCGCCGGCCCCCTCTCTCGGAGAATGGGCCATGGAAAAGCTAAGTCATGAGGCCTTGGCGCTGTCGTGAAGCAGTATCGAAACTTCATGCGAAGCCGATTCGCAATCAGCAAAACCAACTGATCACAAGAGGGGTTACCACACCTGGCGATTGGTAAGACGTGTATGGTTTACGGGCTTGGTTACCACACCTTGCGATTAAAGGGCCGAGGGAGTTCTCGCAGTTTGGGTTACCACGCCTTGCGATGGATGTGCGCGAAGGGTGGCACCGAATTTCAGAAATGTGGCAAATCCCCTGTGTTTTTGGACCCTGACCCCGCGGATCTGCGTAAGGGGTGGCGCCGAATTTCAGAAATGGGTGTGGCCGAATTTCAGAAATGTGGCAAATCCCTTGTGTTTTTGGACCCTGACCCCGCGGATCTGCGTGAGGGGTGGCACCGAATTTCAGAAATGTGGCAAATCCCTGTGTTTTTGGACCCTGACCCCGCGGATCTGCGTGAGGGGTGGCACCGAATTTCAGAAATGTGGCAAATCCCATGTGTTTTTGGACCCTGACCCCGCGGATCTGCGTGAGGGGTGGCACCGAATTTCAGAAATGTAGCAAATCTCTTGTGTTTTTGGACCCTGACCCCGCGGATCTGCGTGAGGGGTGGCACCGAATTTCAGAAATGTGGCAAATCCTTGTGTTTTTGGACCCTGACCCCGCGGATCTGCGTGAGGGGTGGCACCGAATTTCAGAAATGTGGCAAATCCCCTGTGTTTTTGGACCCTGACCCCGCGGATCTGCGTGAGGGGTGTCGATTTCGAGCCCCCCCCAGCAATTCAGACAACGCGCCCAGGAGACGCTAAAAGTTTTGTTTGGGCCTCCCCCCCCCTCGCGCGGTCAATCAACTAGTTACAGTAACCAGCAAGAAGTCAACTAGTTACAGTAACCAGCAAGAAGCAGACTGTAACACTGGAAACTAGAAAATACAACTGGTACAGGAAACTGCGAATCACGGGCCTCGCAGCCTGGTGGCCCCACAAGGGGGCCGGCGGATCAATCGAAGAGCAAACATGTTGGCTTTTTTATTCATTGTTTTGCCGATCGGCGCTGGCCCTCGCACCCCCCCTCCCTCCCGTCTCCATGGAGTAGATCTTGGCTGTTTTGGGTGTCTGTTTCGAGCAGGGGGAGTCTCTCCCAGAGGACGCACAATTCCAAACAGCCGCATTAAGCAGAGGTCCAGAGCCAGACCCCCCCCTCCCCCCCCTTTCCGCCCAATGTCGAGACGCCGAATAAGAAAACGCCCACCATCTTGGAGTTCCGCGAGGTTTCTTGGATCGGCGCTGGGTCTCCCTGGCGGCACCTCCGGCGCCGCCCCTGGCGGGCTCCGCGCACCAGGGAGAGGGGTCCAGCGCCGATCCTGGAGATCCGCGCGGAGCGCCAACAAGTTATGTTTGTGCAGGCTTTTTTCGGGAGGGGAAGGAACACACAGACACACATAATCGTCGAGTCCCAGGAAAATGCTCAATTGTGTATGGGAAGTGGAGGGGAAGACGGAAATCCAGAAAGTATAGAAGCACATAGGGGTATCCTGAGATTTGTGTCTATACATTTGTGTGTTCTTGGGCCCCCATCATTTTGTTCCTCCAGTCAAGATCGACTCTGCACCATGCTCAGAGCGAGACAGCGGCACCGGCCCCATCTCAGGGTCGACGACGCCTGCTCGGAGCGCGGGTCGCCCTTAAGGTGCAACCCAGCCGGCGCCGCTCCCTGAGCCTCCCCCCCCACTCCCCCAATTCGAAGAAGAGACAAGGTAGATGCTCGTTTCGGTGACCTTCCCGGGGCCCACCAATCGGATTTGATCGACTCTCGTTCGATTCTAGTTCCACTCCAGTTCGACTCAAGTTCATCTCAGGTTCGACTCTGCTTCGACTCAGGTTCGACTCAAGTTCGACTCGAGTCGACGGACGTTCGACGCAGCTTCGACGCACGAGTTGAGCGAGCGGCGCCAGGAAGGTCCCCAGACAGAACATCTAAGACGAGGGGGCATAGACATAAACTTTCGGAGTTCCGCGCGAATTTCTCAGCATCGGCGCTGGAGCCCCCCTGGCACCGCCTCTGGCGCCGCCCCTGGTGCGCTCCGCGCGCCAGGGAGGGGGGTCCGGGCGAGGCCAGGACGAGCAGAAATCTGTTCCAGAGCGTCCCGCACCGCTCTCAGAGCGCTGCGGACCTCTCTCAGAGGGCCGCGGCGCCCGAGACATCCTCCAGAGCCGCCCGAGATCAGAGAGCCTCGATGAATCCCCACCCGGATTTTTTTGTCCTCGCCTGGGCTTCGCCCCGCGGCAAGCACCCGCCCGACCCTGGCCTCAGGACCAGGTTATTCGTCCCAAGGCGCTCTCTGGACGGTCCCAGGGCCCGGCAGGCGCTCTTTTGAGCCCGCAGACGGCGGACCCCCCCCCCCGGTCGAGATGTTCTGCCACGGCGCGAGCACGTCTGGGCTGCTCTCGGGCGTTCGGTGGTGGGGGGGCGATCAATGGGGGGGGGGGCGTCGAGGGTTGCACGAAACGGGGCCCTGAAGGGGCCCCAAACGAGCCCCCCGGGGCCCCGAAGGGGTACGAAAGGTGCACGGAAATTGCACCTTTCTTACCTCCCCGTCTATCGCCCCCCTATCAGTGAACGCCCGATGCTCCCTTCCTGGGCCTCCTGTGGCATTCACGCAACGGCGCCAATGCGAGAAGTCCGCGCGGAGCTCCAGTTCTGTTTTCGGAGAAGAGGAACAGGAGCAAACAGCATAGACATACACTTTTCGCGCTCCGCGCGAGTTTCTTGGATCTGCACTGGACCCCCCCCCCCTCGGCGGCGCCTCCGGCGCCGCCCCTGGCGCGCTCCGCGCGCCAGGGAGAGTGGTCCAGCGCAGATCCACGAAGTCCGCGCGGAGCGCCAAACGTCTATGTCTATGCGGTTTTTCGGGGGAAGGGGAGGAGGAGGAAGGAGGAGAGGAGGAGGGGGAGGAGGGGGAAGGGGGAAGGGAGGAGGAGGAGGAGGAGGAGAGGAGGAGAGGAGGAGGAGGAGGAGGAGTGAGGCGGAGGAGGAGGCGGAGGAGGAGGAGGAGGAGGAGGAGGAGGAGGCTGTGTTTGTGTCCCTGCCGTGCTTCTCTGCTCGCGGGCGCGGCGTGCCCGCCCCCGAGGGCGTCGCCTCTGGCTTCGGCGGGCTGCTGCAGCGCATGGGCGCGCCCCTCCCGCGGGGGCGGGGCGGGGCGTCGGCTCGGAGGGAGCCCCCGTGAGCGGGCGCGCGAGCGAGGGGGGGCGGGTCGCGAGTCGTCTATGGCGTCTCTCCCCCCTCTGCCTGCCCTCGGAGGGGCCCTGCGTGTCCCCCTTCTCCCGAGAGCCTGCACGCGGGAGCACCCTGCGGACTCCTCCTCCTCCTCCTCCTCCTCCTCCTCCTCCTCCTCCTCCTCCTCCTCCTCCTCCTCCTCCTCCTCCTCCTCCTCCTCCTCCTCCTCCTCCTCCTCCTCCTCCTCCTCCGAAGCAGGCAGGGCCTGCGGCGGAGGTTCTGGCCGTCAGGGCAGGTGTCCAGGCCCGTGGCCTCCTCCCCGCTCGCCTCCCTGCCTGCCCCATCTCTTCTTCCCCCCCGTGACAGCTGCAGAAGGAATGTTCCAGGGCAGTTTTAAAAGATCGTCTGGGGAACAGTTGGTTGTCCACAGAGAGTTTTAAACGATCGTAGTTTTAAACGATAGTATTATTTGTTTACACTGTTTTTTTTTTGTGTTTGTGTGTGTGTTTGTGTGTGTGTGTGTGTTTGTGTGTGTGTGTGTGTGTGTGTGTGTGTGTGTGTGTGTGTGTGTGTGTGTGTGTGTGTGTGTGTGTGTGTGTGTGTGTGTGTGTGTGTGCGGCCATTTTTCAATTTTCCTTCAACATCTGCCTGTAGGGGGACATGCTCGACCTGAAGCGAGTCGGGCGGGTCGAGGCGGGCGGGCTGGACATGAGGACGGCTGCAGCACTGAGGATCGAGGATCGATGGCACCTGGCGGCCCGATGTTCTGATGCTTCCAAACGGGGCCCCCGGAAGTTAGCGACCCCGTCCCGGGGACCTGCTTTTCGTCCTGAGCTGTTTTTGTTGACGGTCCCCGGGGTTCGGTGACGGCCCCTGGAGGCCGACCGCGGCGAACCGATCTGCCTTGATTTGTGTCCAGAGCGTCGGAGGTCCGGGCAGGATCGATGACGACAGTGTCTTCATCCCCTGGCTCGTAACTGCCGTCACCTGGGCTGACGCTCCTCCTGGGCGTACCCGTAAGGATCGTACGTCAGGAGGGGGCCTGGACACCCCCCCACATGCTGGTGCCCGCGCCAGAACTACGGCGATCGCAGCGCACCCCCGCCCCGACGTGCCCCACCCCGCCCAAGCGTCACCGCCACCCGTGGCCCCAACCCCTCCGCCCAGGTGTAACGGCTGTTGTCGGAAATACTATTTAAAAAAAGTCACCTCGATCGAGGATCGATGAGAGATCGACCAGGCGGCGGCGGTGTGCCCAAATGGGCTCGCGGAGGGCGGAGGGTAGAGGCAGGGATGGGAGGAGGAGGAAGAGGAGGAGGAGGAGGACCAGTGTAAACCCAAGACACGTCAACAAGAGTCATCTTCGAATGTGCTGTAAGCTCTTAAGACGAATGCGCGCGCGGCTAAGGCGAGAACCACATGTTGAAAACCGCCCGCCCTCCATCCGTGAACCCTTGCATTATTTCAGACGAGTGCGCGCGGCGCTTAGGCGAGAGCTACATGTTGAAAACCACCCGCCCTTCATTCATCAAGCTGGTGCAAACTCTGAGAACGAATGTGCGCAACGCTCAGGCAAGAGCCACATTTTGTAAACGACCTGCCCTACATCCGTCAGACTGTTGCCGATGTTTAAGCTTATGGGTCATAAGTGGCGAGTGAGCCTCAGGCGAAACGCACAGCCCGCTCGTCCAGCACGCATCGGGGTCCGACAGGGAGGAGTTATCTATGATGAAAAAGGAAGGATGGAGGTGGAGGAGAGGAGAGGAGAGGACGCTGGGCGCTGTCTCTTCAGAACGAGGATCCAGCACCACAGGATGTACGGGAAACATCTCGATCGAGGATCGATAACCGGATCGACGGCTGGGACACATGAGCGACGCAAGAGAACGGGGTCGTTTGCGCCGACATGGGCGCGTGAGCTGCCCGCGCAGGGCCGCGCGTGAGCGCCCCCGCCTCCAGTGCGGCTTGCCGCGCTGGCGGCCCGCGTGAGCCGCCGCGCAAGTGCGCCCTGCCATCTCACGTAAGACCCGTTTCTGTTCGTCGCTCCGGCCCTGCGCGGAGGAGGAGGAGGAGGAGGAGGAGGAGAGGAGGAGGAGGAGGAGGAGGAGGAGGAGGAGGAGGAGGAGGAGGAGGAGCAGCATGAGGTGGAGCAGGAGGAGGAGGAGGAGGAGGAGGAGGAGGAGGCGGAGGAGGAGATGGAGGATCGACCCGGCGGCGGCGGCGCCGGCGCGCCCCGGCCCTGCGAGGCAGCCTGGGCTCAATGCCCCCGCGCCGCAGCGAGGCGGGCCTCGCGGATGCTGCCCGCGGCGAGGCCGACAGGCGGCCCTCGCTGTCCGCCGCCGTCGTCGTTGCCGCGGTCGGTGCCGTCGTCGTGGCCGCCGCGGCCGCCGCCGCGGCCGCCGCCGCGGCCGCCGTCGTCGCGGTCGTCGTCGCGGTCGCGGTCGTCGTCGCGGTCGCGGTCGTGGTGGTCGCCGTGGCCGCCCTCGCCACCGCCACTCGAGGACACGGGCTCTTCGCCGCCGCGGTCGGGCTCCGCTCGAGGTGCTGGCCGAGGTCGGGAAAACCACTCCCACTCCCATAGCCGGCGTTTACTGAGCAGCCCTGGGCGTTCAAGAAGGTTCGAGGTGCTGGGTTCGAGAGGGGTCGAGGCGCGGGGTTCAAGAGAAGGTTTCTATTTGTTTGTCGACCTCCAGGGGCCGTGTTTCGGGCTCCAGGGGCCGAAACAACAACTGTTTGCGTCTCCCTCCCCCCTCGTCCCGTTCCTCCCTCCCCGCACGACCTCTTGGGCTTGGTCAAAGCAGTATCGTTTAACCGATCCGTACTCCCATCCCCCAGCCCCATCCTCACCATCATCCCATGTGGGGATACCCCTCGAAGCCCGAAGGGAGCAGCCTTTGTCGGCCAGCGGAACCCAGGCCACGCTTGTGGGATACGTATCCCCTTACCTGGGGTCGGCCTGCGTGAAAAAGGGCCGTCCGCTGGATTGGGCGCTTGCCACTGCGCCCGATCAGCCTGCCGCGCGCGCGCTGTTTCAGCATCCGCGCGTCAGGACGCAACGACACGCTGAACGGCTGGTTGTTCGATTGCAGCGACATGCCCTGGCTTGCGTCAGGGACGTCTCGGGGCATCAGGGGTGTCCGCGGGGTTCAGAACAGCATTGGGGTGGCGGTGCCTGTCCCATCTGGGGACAGGCACCACCACTCAGTTGCGTTTGGGCCTGCCCGCAGCAGCGTCGCTGCAATCTCACGCTCGCCCGGGGGCCGCTGCGGCCGCGTTCGGGAGCGCTCTGGGGGGCCGCGCGTGCGCCTGAAAACGATTTCCACCAAACGCCACCTCGACTAGGTACGTGTACGTGTCCCAGGGTACCATCAACGCGCGTCGGCGAATGCCACCCGACAGGTACCCGGACCTAGCTGGGGTGACGCCAGGCGGGTTTGGCAGGGAGCAACCCTTGGCGACCGCGCCTGGCGTTCGGGGCCCCAGACGTGTGGGGCGAGCGCGGGATTGCAGCGGTGCCCGCCCAGGACACCCAAAACGCATTTTGCGCGTCGAACCCCAAACGCTTGATTGTGCGCCATCGTGGGCGCACCTCCAACCAAGGCACTGGCCTCCCGTTCCCTCGACCCCCTCGTGCAAATACGTATGATGAGCAACGAGACAGGTGTGATCAGGGGTGCGCCCGGGAAAACGGACCATGCTGAGGACGAACGGAGGATGCGACGGATGCGATGGGGTGGGGCTGAGAAGGAGCAGGAACATGATGACGAGGCGGGAGGAGGATGACGAGGAGGAGGAGGAGGCGGATGAAGAGGAGGAGGAGGAGGAGGATGAGGAGGAGGAATCGGAGGATCAGGAGGAGGATGAGGAGGAGGAGGAGGATGAGGATGTAGGACGAGTAAGACGAGGACAACGCGAGAACCCATGTTCCCTACCTAGGCTCTGCTCTGCCTATACGGTTTCGTGCTCTCTGCGCTTAAATGAGCCAGGCAGTGTAAACCACCCTGGGCGCCCCCCCCCCCAGTATCCGCCCCGCGGTTCCCCCCGTTACGTTCCCTTAGTTACCGTTGCGTATCTCATCGTAGCCTAGCGCATGTCATTCTAGCTTCGCTTCAATTAACCTTAGCTCAGGTTTATCTTATCGCAACTTGCATTCATCGTAGCTTCGGTGAGCTTTAGACTAGCGGATCACCTCCAAGTATAGCATAGCGTAGCATAGCATAGCGCATCACATCATACCATAGCACAGCCCCGCATATCATAGCACAACGCAGCATAACAAAGCATATCACAGCATACACAATCGCAGTTTTTCACACCATCGCATAACAACGCTTGGCATAACACACCGCACCATGGCATGGTATGGCATGGTATGACATAGCATAACATAGCGCAGCATACCATAGCGCATCATACCATATCGCAGCATAGCATAGCATAGCGCAACATAACATGGCATAGCATAGCATCGCATAGTAACTAACGCTGTGTGCCTAGGGGCTCCAACGTCTGGGTCGGGTCGCACATGTGTAATTGTGTTTGAAGATTGGCGCGCCGTTCAATTATCGGACGTTGCGGAACGTACTGCAGCTGTTTAGCGTCTAGCGTCTGGGCTGCGCCCTCGCGCCTGTCATGCCACCGCCCTCCTGGCGGGACTCTTCTGGCGAGGAGCGCCAGGCTGGGGCGGACTTGCTTAAGCTTCTCTTGCAGCTCTACGGCGCGTGCAGGATCACTGCTCAGCATTTATGCGTGGCCTGTGATCTATGTGCCAAGGCTAAGGTTCCAGGTGGTTCGTTTCTGGCGTACGCCAGGGAGGCGGGCCTTCAATCGGGCACATATCAAAGACATCTTGACGCGGTTCTGCCTGAACCGAAACACTTATATTTTACCCCTGTCCCCACGAACGTGAACCACTCAATAACAAGAACGATTCGAAACGAGCCAATTCGACTTGGACACGAGGCGTTGCGAGACGATATCTTTGAAGACCCTACTATTATGCAGACTATACGGGCCCCCCGTGCTGAACGTGAAGAGTGCATCCTGGACTTGCCAGCTTACGCGCAGCATCCGTTGGTTGAAAAAGCTCGGGTGTCTGGAGGCGTACCCCCTGTACCAGTCGGCATTTACGTCGACGGTGTGTCGTATATCCAGCAAGCGGCGGGCAGGTCAGATCCAGTATGCGGGTTTTAGATGACTAACCTCATATCGTCAAAACGGTTCTTGCTATGTACCATCCGCCACAGCGATGAGTGCTGTTGCGGCTGTAGAGCGTGGTGCACGACGTTCCCAGTTTTGAAGTGCATCCAGTGGCAGCTGAAATCAATGTTCACTGGATCGCGCCCCGTGCACATGCACACGGGCGAGCCGTTCCCAGGCGACCAGGTGCCAGACGAGCTTGATTTGGGGTACACAGCTGCCCTCATTTTTGTGAAGGGGGATTGGTGCGAACACGCGCGGACCCTGGGACTGTCACCTTGGAGCCAAAACCGCAATTGTTGCCAGTTTTGTGAAAGTGAACACTCCGAGCTTTTCGACGAGGGCCTAGTGATGTCACATTGGTTACTTCGACGACACGAAAGTTACGAGGAGGCGGTATCTAAATGCGAGGTCCGAGTCGATGTGAACAGCCGAAAGGAACTTACCGACCTATGTAATTCACTGAGGTGGTTCAAAGCTAAAAGCAGCAAGAAAAAACATGAGAAGCAGATGTGTGTTTAAACGTGTGCGCATTGGCGGCGCTGACTTGAAAGTCGGCGACCGCTTGGAGCCCTCGGACACACTGTTTGACATTGCTCGATTGGAGCACTGCAGCCCGCCTGTTCGCATCGTCTTTTGGCGCCCCAGGGTCGGGGCGAATGATGCGTTGCTCGATTCGGCGCAACATAGGTGCCCACTATTTGATCTCGAATTGGGGACCTCACCAGTTCGAACGCTTGCTATAGATGCTATGCACTGTCTGCACTTGGGGGTTGTGCAAAGATTCGTTTCCGCGTGCTTATGGCGAATGGTGCTTGAGAACGTATGGGGCGTTGTGGGGTCAGATTCGGCCGTCTTGGGCACGCGTTTCAGGAACCTCCAGAATGATTTACTACGGTGGCAAGAATCAAACAACATCGCTAGACCTATGCGCATGCACAACCTGACTCCCAAGATGATGGGCAAGCAGCGCGGGTGCGACTTCCAGGAGCCATCGTTTCGCATCGTCTTTCGGGGTTAAGCAACATGTGCAATTCACAAAGCCTCGTCGCGAAAAGATGGTCTCGCCTCGGCGCCCGCGCACAGAACGCTCCTGGGGTAACAACATGTAGCCTGGACAACATAAACGCGCCCCCCCTCCCGCAGAACCCTGTGCACCCTGGCGGTCCAATGAGCCTCAAGGCTGCTGAGACGGGCCTCCTCCTGAGCTTCACACTGGACATGCTGCGCAGACATGGGGGGGCCAACATATTCGGGGTGCATTTGGTGGCCGCGGGGGAAACGCCCCAAGAGTTCATGGACCACATGAGGGCCCATCCAGTTATCGTGCCGCCCCCCGTTCAAGAACGCATGAAAGAGCTGGTGATACTACATGTTCGTTGTGCATACGCTGCGATGATTGGCACGGTGCCGAAGCACCACGCAGCGTGCCATCTTGCAGACAGGAGTTCGGATCATTCAAATGCTATGCTGCTTTGCTGTCCCGCAGTCCTCCATTCTCTCTCTCTTCCGTCCCCTCGCCCTTTCCCACTCGCTCATCCCCGCATCGCCCCCTTCACTCGTCGCCGATTCCACCCCGCCCACCCGCCCCGGTGAGCCTGTGCCTCGGCGCCGCCGTTCTTCGGCAGGAGCACCCCGATAGCCCCCGTGGGGGGGCGGCAAGCGCACTGAGGGATGGAATAGAGGGGTGAAGTAGGCAAAGGGCGGAGCGGATGGACAGGATAAGGAATGGCGAGGAGAACAAAAATGAGAGAACGGGAGGGGGAGGGGGACGGAGGGATGGGCGGCGAGGGGGGACAAGGAGAGGGGGAGAAAACACAACCACCACCTGAGAAATCAAAGTGTAGGGGTAGCGTCTCTGCTAAATTGCAAAAACACATCCGTGCATAGTTTCTTGGATTCGACGCCCCTCAGGATCTGGTTCCACGGGTCACCAAAATGTATAATTGCTTTGTGGATGAGGGCCTCAACAGTTTGCTACGGGATGTTGTCCGCTACGCGCACCGCAGCACTATGGAGTTCAGGTGTTTTTCGCTCTTCGAACTCAACGCACGCCTCGATATTTCCCCGTGGATCGCTTCGCAGCAGTCATGTTTGTCTCTTATCGCAGGCTGGGAATGATCAGTGCGCTGGTAGCATCGTGTTCGGCGGTGCGACCACC